CTTGTCTTCAAATGTTGGAATCTGTTTACCATGCATCATTAAGGTTCATCACAAACTGTAGAGCCTTGACACATCACTGTGACCTGTACTCTCAGGTGGGATGGCCTTCCCTCTCTACGAGAAGTCAGTGTCATCGGTACACTTTGATTTACAAGGCCCTTCTTGGATTACTGCCCTCTTACATTTGTACCTTACTTACACAGAAAAGCATGGCTTCTTATGACCTGAGATCCAACGATCAGCTGGTGCTGACTGTTCCTTTTGCCTGAACAGAACTGGGGGAGAAAGCCATTAGCTACATCCTTTTTAAAAATGAATGTGCATGGAGCTTTTTTCTGCTCACGTTTCAACGAAAACCCCAAGTCTAATCCAGCTTTGTTTGCCCGCTTTGCATCCAGAAATTCAAAACACATAAAAACCACTGTGCAGCTATATTATAGTTTTTATTTATTTATTTTAATTTAATTATTTATTTTATTTTATTGACTGTGCAATATTCTGAATGTGGAATATATGTGAATAGAATAGTCATACCACTACCTCACCGTTGCTCCTCACCTACTACACTTTAATGTAAAAGTAAATCCACCTGTATATAAGCCATCCGGATTGTACATATGACACCTCAAATCTCTGTGCTACTCCCTTGTATTTTTTTATGTTTTATTTTTATTTTGTTTTTCATTGTGTGTGTGATACATGTACACTTGCACCTTAATCCTTATTTATCTTGATATACTGTATATACCTTGATATACTGTATATATATTGTTTATTCTTAATGCACCTTTTTCCTCCTTGTTTGCACCTTCTTCTTTAATGACTATGCCAATATGTGACCAGTGAATTTCTCCGCTGTGAGATCAATAAAGCTCATCTAATCTAAACATCTCTGCATTGTGATTGGCCCGCGAGTTCTAGGGCCTGGGTGATCGAGGCTAGACCAAACTCGCCCGCAAAAATGATTTTGGTCTCTGGCAGGTGGGGCCAGTTTACTAGGCTAGGGATTTCATCTTCAAAACTGGAACAGCAAGATTGATAGCAGAAGTTTTTATTGTTTCTCCTGGTATCTGCCACTATGTCAGCGGACACTTGGTGTTACTTTCTCCCAATCAGCTCAAAAGTTTCTGCTGAACATTCCTCTGCTTTCCTCAAACAGATGTATTTGGAGTTGTACCAAATTTATTTATGTCATTAACTAATCCTGAGTGCAACTCATTAATCTGACTTGTCTAGTTAGAGCTCATCTAAAATAATCCAACCAAAAAATCAGCTTCTCTGCCAGGAGGACATAGTTACTAGACCACACTGGTGTTTACATAACGCCAAAATAGACTTTACTGTGACACTGAACACATCCGTCTAGTTAGTAGAAAGCCTGCTTCCCCACAAATGGTCTCCACCTGCAAAGCTATGTAAAAACTTAATCCAGTTTTTACTGATCTTCTTTTCTTGGCTACTTTCCCTTCCCTCTTACTGGTAAAATGTATGGATGGTCCTCTATTTCAACAGAATAATGCAAGTACAAGGATTTACAGTTGTTTTTGCTTGTTTTATTCTTCAACAGCAACAAGTGTTCATATACTGTACAGATAAAACGTATGGGTCCAACAATTTTGTCCCCTTTCAGTTATTAACCAAAGATAGTGATACAACATAGCATCTTTCATAGGGTGCTTTGCCACCTATGGATTTTTAAACAACTCATTTTATGCTATTGGAATTTTCACTTATGATATTATTGTTATTAAATTTTGGCAAAATATGCATTCGTAAATGCTAAACTTGATTTTTGCTAATCAAAAGTCAAAGTGTTTACACACAGTTGGAACAAATGTACTAATGTTATCTTATATGTTATCTTATATTTGCTCATTTTGTAATACCTTGTATATGTATACTCATTTCTGTTTTTTTTTTTGTTTTTTTTTTAACCACAATCAATGCTTGAATATTTTTGCAGGGATTAAAAGTGGGGGTGACAGAGAGCAGTTGTCTCCCCACTCTAGATAAAAGTAAAATACAGATGACATGCCCTTTATAGAGTTTATTCTTCTGTAAAACTTTCACAAAGAGAATGTTGCTGCTGGTTTCAAGCCTCCCCTCTTCGCGAGTAAAAGAATCTGATGCTCCTTCCTTTCCCTCCTTGTATGTTGATAAAGGTTTTAGGTGTTTGAACCTGACACAAACACACCATTTAAGAACAATGACTTGTTCATTTCTTGTCCAGTGTCTTTGTTATCAGTTTTTTTTCCCAGGAGATTTGGACTTACAGCATGTTGAAAAAAGTTATGAAAAGGCCATAATAGGATTTTTTTTTTCTGTCAGTATCTGTAAATCTATGGCAGTGCTAACTTATTTACTGCTGACTGATGGGAAGTCAGACAACAATGCAAAGAAAATTTTAGATTGGAGTACCAATCCAGCCATATCTGGATAAATCAGGCAGATATTTCAACTTCATATAGAAACATTCCCACCTATTCAAAGCATTAATTTTATGTCCTAATAAAGACATATTTTTAAAATTATTCACACTCGTGTGCACTACTGTCACTGTTTGAAACCACAGTGAATTACATAACAGGGTGCTTATTGCTCACTGGGGAACTCTGGCTATAAAAGTTATTTAAGTACAGGTCTCTCTCTACCAGTATTGAAAGTAGATTTTGCAGGATAAACTTTCAATAATAAGATATTAGCAATAATTTTTGTTATGTGATGATCTATATTTATCAAGTGCATAAGCATTCCCACTTATTGTTTTTTTCTTTTTATTTTTCAGACTTTAACTAGTCCCGCAGTTTTC